AAGCCCTTTCGCGAAAATTTTTTTTTCACCCAAATCATCACTTAGCATGGTTTTGCACTCACCCCTTCAAATGTCTTTGGATATGGCTGGGTCGAATTCAAAAATCGTCTCATTTCTAAGAGATAAACCTCATGCCCTAATTGGCTTGGATGAGGATCCTTAGTGGGATCATGTTCAACTTGGTGTACAGTACTTACTTTCAAAATGAGTACAGTTACAAAATAAATGTGTATTTCAAAAGAAAATGCAACATTTCAAAACTTTTGTTAGCTGGAGAATGCAAGCCCGAGGATTTCACAGTAACGATCATTTTCAGTACTGCATTGTTACCGTGTTTCAGAAATAATGGAACCAAAAAAACCGTTTGCCACGAACATTTCAACCTTGCAGATCAAAATCATTTTGATAAAAATATTGTTTTCTGCTCTAGTTTTCAACAAGTAGTAAGGGTAATTCGTTTGATACGTTGTTTCACATCACCCGTCTGCCATCTTGTATCCATTCCAAGGTGCACCACACAGTATGTGCAGTGCGGTCTGGGATTGGTATTAAGATGGCAGAAAAATGGCTGATATAGGGTGAACCAGCTACAATTGTTGGTTTTCATCCCTCAGTCAGTTTACATGGCATCCACTGCAAAGCAGAAGTGCAAAAGTTGACTTTGTAGTAATAATAAAAAAAACATTCAGGAAGAGGTAAAAATTATTTTGTGCTGATTTCGAGACCATTGTAAACAGAGAACATCATGTCCCTTACTAACCCAGATCCATGTCACTGAGTACATGTAAGCGTTTGTTTCATTTCCTTCTCTATTCTCTAATACTACTTTTGTTTTCTTTAATTTGTGTCCAATCAAGCATGAAATTTTGTTACAAAAATTTTCCAATAGCGATGGTTTCCCACAATCACTGGACACTGCGTTACCATAAAATTTGAAATCCTAGGGCTTGTTGGAATGAAGAAAAAGGAAGACAACCTTTTTCACCTCATCTTCCATCAAATTTACAGATTGTAAGTGCTATATGTACATGTACATGGACAGCTGTGCATGCAAACAGAGAACATTTTAGAAACCTGCATGCAATCAAGTACTGTATGTCTGCTATTCAATACAAACACCTGTTGGTGGTAGCTTCTCTTTTCTTTGTATAATACTGCCTTTACTCTTAATGGGTAGAAGGGTTCTTTCATTGTGATCCTGGTCTGCTGATGCTGTTCTTGGTCTCTTCTCATAATCAGCCTCATCTTCATCTAAGTTTTTTCTTTTTCTTTTCTTTCCACTACTTGGAACTCTTTAAAAAAAAAAGCAAAATAACCCAAAAACGGAAATGTCACAGAGCATCTTTTTAAACACTTTAAGATCTTAAATTCGTCCGTTGCTGTATAGCAAAAACTGTTATGTTCACACCACAAGTCTCGATTCCGAAATAATGCTCAGAATTTATGATGCTGGATGTACATGCAAAAGAAGTTATGTTCTGAGCACTACTATAAACTTAACCTGTCATATACTCTACGTTATATTCAAATAGGGTCTGACTACGTCCAAACAAATCAAACTTTCAAATATAAAAGCATTCTCGCTGCACCAATGTGGGCCTTTTTTCTGACGTTTTCTCCTTACAAACAGACTTACTCTGCTGTTACTTGCTGCAAAAAAGCAAAACTTCTGTGAGAATCTTGAAAATACTCCAAATCTTCAGGGTCGAGAGCTTCATTGTCTTCCATGGTCACATCATCTTCGTCTTCTTGAGGTGCATTTCCCGTAGCTTTGCGCGCCTTTTTGTCTTTTTTGCTCCCTTTTCCTTTTGCCATTATAATATGCTACCTCGTGCAAAAGAGTATATTTCAAAAGTGTCTATTCTGGTCCGTCTAAACTACAGGCAGTTAGGCAGTTCGTACCACAGTTCGTCCTCCATCTTGGACATGAGCCTTAGATGACAGCCACGTGCACCCCAGCGTACAACCATGGAGGCAACTGGCTTTATACATGGTTACTTAGAGTGTCCCTTACCGCTTGTACTTTGGTTGTGTGTGTGTGGAGGGGGGTGGGGGAGAGGTGTACTCACATTTTGACACAGCATTTGGGAAGCGACTTAAAGAGTCCTTTAAGATTCTCTAATTGAGCATTGTGATACATACTTTACCAGTGTTTCTGACAAAACAAACTACGCTATCCAGTGGATAGTGATTTGACTGCTGAAATTTGTTCACCACTTATTTGTATTTGAAGTATAAGGTAAAAGGTCGTCCCAACATGAGCCCTCCCGATCATAGACACAAAATTTCCTTTAAGTAAAGATCCTCCCCAATTATTATGATTTATTGTTTTTAGCACAGGATGATTTGTTCCGGTGAAATTGGTTGTTGTAAAACGGGTTACTTCGCATATGTCGTTCATTTTCTGTGATGTTATTACGGTGTACATAGAGGCTCCATTAATCCTTGCGTTTTTGTGACTATTTTCGTTTCAGAAGAAAACAAATACTGCCGACCAAGAGCGGAAACCTAACTGCGGAGCCGTTAATTCATTGAGGTAACATGGACGTAACACTGCACTCGTCATCCTTCCACGTTATTGCAGGTCGCGTTGTTCTGCAAATTATCCAGTTATGTTCGATGAACTGATGATTGGAAACATATTGTGCGATGACTCAGATCGATATATACTTTCCATGAACTCTGCCGAGGTTGTTATGCTGACCTGGCTGTTTTCGATATTTGTTGTGTTGTTATAGGATATGCTTAGGTGGCTGTTTTCATTAATTCGGGAAAAACTCCAGCGGAAGTCCGTGCAGGACAGGACATATCAAACAGAATCACGCGAGAGTCACGAATGTTATTTCCCAAATTTCAGCCACCTGCTGTTGAGGTTTTGTATTTTGTCTTAACGTTGAACTTAGTTTGCGTTTGCTCTGCGTTTCACATCACAAGTGACATCAGTATGTTCAAAGAATTTTAACGTGTAATATTTCTCTTTTGCACACCTCATATCAGTTCATGCACTAAGGTCGTTTTCCCCCGATCGTATTTTACTTTCGATGTTAAGCCTTTTCTGATAGGCCCGTGATACTAGGCATGTCCCAACTGAATAGGCCCACTAACACTTAAAAAGCCTTCAAAACAAACAAAGAAAAAAGTATAAACACTGGGCCTATTAATACGGAAATTTAAAGTAAGGAGATTTCTGTTTGTTGCAGAATCGTTATCTGTTATTGGAAATTTTGTTGACCGAGTTTTAACTTTTGAATATTTAAAACACTCACATCAGCGGGACAACCCCTGACCTGATCGAGCTATAAATAAAAGGGAAAACCCCCGGTCTTAAGCCACTTCCTATATATTGTGACAGTCTCGCGGCAAAGCAACCCCACAACGAACTGGACGTTCTCCGATGCGGAATCGACCAAAGGTACACTGTATGTTTCTATGTTTTTTATTCCAGTCAAGACCTAAGGGTTGTTACGTCCTTATAAAATAGAGTTTATTCCGTTTTAGGGGCTTTCTCAGTATTTTCTGGTTGGGTCCTAGTTACTTTGAAGAAGATCATTTCACCGTCGAATTCTTCGTGCGGCGTCAGTCTTCGCCTTTGAATCCATTGATTCTTTCAGGGAACGTTTTGCCTTAGCAAATTTTGTCCTATTTGTTATGATTTATAGTTTTTAGCATAGGATGATTCGCTCCGGTGAAAGTGGTTGTTGTAAAACGGGTTACTGCAACCTTCGCATATGTCGTACATTTTCTGCGATGTAATTACGGGGTACATAGACCCTTTCACTTTAAATACAGAAAGATCTACTGGCGTTTTTGTCTCTATTTTCATTTCAGAAGAAGGCAAATATCACTGACGAAGAGCACAAACTGGGGAGCCGTGAATTCATTGAGGTAAGACTGCTATAAACACTGCACTCATTATTGCATCTACGATTTTTCTGTTTATACCTCCACATCATTGCAGATCGCGTTGTTCTGCAAATTATCCAGTTAGATTGCTTTACGGTTTCAAACGAGCTTTAGATGGTGTTTCTTTTTTACCATGTTTCTCGTTAAAATTTCGCTTTAAGTTTTATTTGAGGCTCCAGACGTGTCCAGACAAAGCGAGAAATTTGCAGACGTTGCAAAAAAAAAAATGATTATCGAAGCAAATCGAAGTCAGAGCTCTGATTACAGTCAGCCCGGAAGTTTGAATTTAAAACCCAAAGCTAATTTCCCTTTGCTATAAACATTCGTTAAATTCGATTAACAGAAGATTGGAATTATATTTGACTCAGATCGATATATAATTTCGAAGAACATTGCTGAGTTTTGCAAAACCTGGCTGTTCTTGATATCTGTTGTGTTGTTATAAAATATGCTCAGCTGGCTGTTTTCATCAATTCGGGAAAAACCCCAGCGGAAGTCCGTGCCGGACAGGACATATCAAACACAATCACGCGCCAGGCACGAGTTTTATTTCCTTTGGGGGTTATCCCAAATATTCGGCACTAATTTGTTTTGGAGCCTGAGGATACTGTTCGAAATTTTGCTCCTTTTTCGAGGACAGAAGACCCGGATCTTATACACTACCTGTTTTAGCATGATCTTATTTTATCAAGGTTGAGAAAGATAAGCTTAAATTACCGACGGATATTCATGAATATTGGTTTGAAACACTGAAATATTGAATCTTAATTTACAATTTTTAGTCTTCAAACATTCAATGTTATTGACGTCTCTTGACGATTCAGAAGATTCAGGAGATTCAGGCCCGAATAAACAGCGAGGTCAGGCCTCTTGCTATCTACAATAGATTCTCATAACATCACTGGCACTATGCGTGACATGTTTTACTGGTATTCAATCATGGGTATAAAACAAGGGCTAAATCTCTTAGTTACTTTCCCATTCGAATCTTAGCCTGCAGAGAGACCTGTGAGCCGAGCTCAACTTGAAATTGATCTGGACTCATTAAACCCGTTGTTCACCAAGAGTCACTTATTTAATCTTATTCCATTTCTAATTGGTTATTTTTCTCCTGTTTTTCAGGTCTGAGTCTTCTGTTTGGCAGTAGTTAAATATATTTGTTTCCTTTGAGTTTTTCTTTGCATTTAAAATGTCACTCTTTGAGTAACTGAGCTTCGGATACTTCCCTAACTCACATAAGGGTAGACTGCTTACGATCTGTCTTTCTCTTGAAATTTAAGAATTAAGGGAGTGTTAGGTAAGCGAGTGTTTTATGACGAAATGGGATTTTGAGGCACCGCACCCCCTCATGAGAATTTAGAACAGACGTTTGCTCAGCACATATATATGTATGTATAATGGTTTCTTTGAAGAAACTTATATTTACAAACGGACTCTAAGTAACGGTTACAGAGAGGTTACGCGTGACTGAGTGTTAGTGCGAAGTGTGATGAATACTTTTGATTGTCATGTCTGTCAGACGAAGGATTTTATAGGTAAGTAGCAATCGATTTGGTTAAATGCGCGTTTCTTTTTCAGGAAATGTTGATAAACGAGCTCGCACACGAAACAATAGAAGAACTCTGTAGCGCCCTAGAAAAGGTTCCCACCTTAAACTGGAAGGTGCTAATGAAATCAAGATCCTTCTGTTCACTGTACACCCGGGAAGACGATGTAGCTTTGATAGGGAACAGTATGAATTTGATAAATGATATGATCCATCGAGAAATTAAGCTGCAACACCTGTTGAATGGCTTGATGGAAATTGGAAATAGAAAGGCTGTTTCAATAATCCTGAAAGGTAACTAGTCATTTCATTTCGTTTTATTTGTGCCCGAATTCGAATGTATTACCAACAAACATATTGACAAAGTCAGTGACAAATAGCGGTTTTTTGAGCTCTTGTAGAGGACTTAAGTACGTCAATCAGTAAGTTTGGGTGATTCTTGTCGTTGCCAATGGGATACAAACTGGTCTAATGACATGAAACTTTACTTTACTAACTAATGAATCTGAACGGGGTTTAACTATGACTTTTAGTTGAGAATTACGACAATTACTGATTGTAATTATATGTCAAAATTTTATCTGCCAGCTGATCGCTGAGAAATCACAGCAAATTTATATTTAACTAACTGAACTAAGATTACAGCACCCCCTAACCCTCTTAATCGTCATCGTCATCATCATCATCATCATCATCATCATTGTCATCGTCGTCGTCGTCATCACCGTCATACCGTCATCGTCATAATCATAAACCATCCTTTGCTGACAGCAGCAAGGACGTAAATGGGTTTCTTTTGTCATTCTAATGATATGTGCATCAACGTTTTCCACCACTTGACTGTTTCCAACTTTCTATTACCAGGAGGAGAAAAATGTGGACTTATTGTCCAGGATTCAGGTGGACTCGTGCCCCCTACCTTCAGTATTGATCAGAATCGAAAGGTATAAATATTGATTATATAACACAAAACGTACGTCAGATTTTATTAAATGAAAAAGACTTGCCCCATTTTAATGTTATACATATATAAAAATGTTGTTATTTGCATATAAATCAGTTACATTAACATTTACTAGTACAATACATGATAGTTTATCAACAGAGTGGTTTTCAATTGAGTGTCATAAAACCAAAACCAAACCAATTACTTACCAATTAGACTACTCAGTCAATCTCAAACCGTAGTAAAACCAAAGCCAAAATCAAAACCAAACTAATTGCCTGATTACTTTCGACACTCAATTGAAAACCGCTCTGATCACATGAATATATTAGACATTCCAACCAGTGTCCAGTTGTCCAGGTGTCCAGTTGTCGCACAATAATAATTAGTTTAACCTGGTAATATGGCCTCAAAAGGATGACGATGCGGGTACAATGTTTCGGCTTGTTCCCGTTCACTGGGAACAAGCCGAAGCATTGTACCTTCATTGACCCAATAAACTCACTGATCAAGGTAAAGAAAGAAAATGCTCTCATGATTTATTGAAGTAATTTTGAAACTTTTAGTTAGACATCAAGTTAGCTTTTTTATTGAATTTTTATCTATTTCAACATGTTTTGTATTTTTTAGCATTCATTGTATATTTAAATCTTTTACGATTAATTTTAATTTTTATGATGTAAAGCGCACTTGATCATTTCATGGAAAGTCGCGCTATAACATTTTTTAAATATTTTTTCAATATTTCAATATTATCATTAGTTGCAAATTCAATTGTAAATAAGAACTTAACATCTTCTAGAGAGAACATAGAGTGACAACGCTGACTTAGTTTATAGGTAAGAATATTAGTCATAATAAAAAATAGCCTTTTAGGGGTAGCGTTACGAAGCCAAGAAAAATAGACAGTAGTCAGATCGGGAATTAGTAACTATTAGGTTTTTGAAATCTTTCATTCTTTCTTCATTTTCTCCTATACCTCTTTTGTTTCATACTTCCACCCTCTCTCCCTCCTTCCTTCCTTCCCTCCTTCCTTCCCTTCCCACTCAAGGCATACCAAACTATAACTTAGACGTTTGTTCTCAATCGAAAGTACAATTACACTGTTGTTGCAATTTTCTTCTTTGCTAATTATTTTTCTTTTCTTTCCTGTCTGAAATAGTTCGACAACGAAAAGAAGTACTCTAATTTTTCCTGCCAACAGCGCAGGGAACAAGGCGAAACATTAGGCTTTCCAATTCAAGAGGAATGCAGCGAGAAAACAGGCCACCCAACGGACACTAGATTTGAATCTTCACTAAACGAAGTCAAATATGTGATTTCCACAATATTCCCGTGCTTTTACGTGCTTGAGTAGAAAATTTATAAACACCCCAACCCAAAATTACAAAAACAGCTACTGTTTATCTGTAAACTCCTATGACATTTTTCAGCCGCCGTGCAGAAAATCGAAAGCAAGTAGCAAGTTTGATTTACACAAAACAATTCATGTCATAGCCTTGTAGTGGACTTGAAGTAGGTAGGCTATGAAGAAACAACAAGTTGGTCGTTAGGGTTAGCGAGCATGCGCAATTTAGCTAAAAAAATATGTAAATTAAATTACAAAGATCTCTTTTGGTAGCTCACAGAAAAATGTGAAAAATGGTTAGGAATTTATAGCGAGCTAACATGTAATACACTGCCAATGTTTAAAAATAATACGTGTTTAAGCTCAAATTTTATCTTTTTCACTCATTCGTTTTAACTTGGTTTAATTAATTAGCTCGAGTTGTGCGAGTGACTCGTAACAAAATAATTATAATGAACAGAATTGTATAAGGAGTAGATAAAATTAAAAGAATCATGGAAGCAGATTTGGAACTGTTGTTAGTTGTGGACAATGAAGCGAAGGGACTAGGCCTAGGATATTGTAACTTACTCTGCAAGTGGAATTCTGGACCATTTTAAGAAACCTTTCAACATGTTCATTTTGTTAAAGGAGCTCAGTCACGGTTTGCGCATCTTGAAAAGTTTAGCCTCAATTTTTCAAATTCGTCGTTTGTAATCTGGGTTAATCTTCTCCATCCTTAGCCATCCTTTTCCTTTATGGTTTATCATTATCTCTTTGGTGTTTTTCTATCTTATTAAACTGTTATCAGAAAATTGCTCAAGTTCTTTTTCGGTTTTTGGACCTTGCAAAAGAAAGAACAAGACCAATATTTCCTAATACGTTAACAATTGTTAGTTCAATAAAGCATTCATTGTAATGGCTCTGTAAAACTCTGTTGATCCATTCTCTTTACGCGCACGCTCCAAAGTTGAGCATTTATTGGAATTTTTCAGCTGCGCTTTCATTTTAACTCAAATCTCTGCAAAATATGCTGGACAAAAAAATTTCTACAAAACAAAAAAACTTTTTTTTTGTGCAATGTTATGAAAAGGCAATTCGCAGAAATCAGTTGGTGAGCGGTCCATCTTAATTAGCGGTCAATATAATATTGCAAAATTCGGGTCGCTTATTAATCAGACGGAGAAATTCGGAATTCTTGTCATATTGAACCAATTCGTTTTTGCCTTTTAACAAAGAGTCGAACCTTTTTCTGACAAAAGTGTTCCTGAAATAGTGGTGCTTACTTGGCGTGTTGCAACTATTTATTATGTTTTCAAACCCAGTGGCAAACTGTTTTCAAAAACGCTAGCGTCAAGCTTTAACTAAACGGAAACAGAAAGGAAATCATTTGAATTTAGGAGCACCCTGGGTAAATGTCCACGATGCTGGCCACGGTCCTAGCCAGACCAAAGTATTCTTATAGAGATAAAATCAGAAAAGAAAACGCTTCCTTTTATGCTCATTTATGTTTTGTAATGCATAGCCTCTTACATGAACTTGAAAGATAAAAAAAAAAATTAAATTCACAATTTTTAACGAGGCAAGTACTAACAAAGAAAAACTGTAGCATGCAATCACGAGCGATTATTTCCTTATCGTCTATTTAAAAAGAAAAACTAACAAGTAATAAAAGACAAACTTATATTCGTATTCAGTACTTTTCTTTTGATCGAACCGGCCTAGATCTTCATTCGTCATTGTGTCACTTCAATTACACAAGCGAGAAGCAATCCGTGTAACGCTAATATACAGTTTTGCTATTCTACTGATCTAAAAAAAAAAACCGCTACTTTTCTCATATCAAATTTTCGTCATATTGGTAATTCGTACCTTGCATAGTTCCAGTAGATTCATGTAGAATTGTTTCTATGTCGAACATTTTTGGTCTCCGTCGTTCGCACAACTGCATGTGTCTAGCATTCTCGACCCCAAGCCACGACGGATAAAAGAACCAAACGGTCCCGGGCCGAATTTGACTTTTGAGTGGTTTGCCTCATTTACTGTAGTCCACTAGTATACTTATTAAATGAACATAATAATATAGCTCATTGTGATTGGTCTGCTCTTAGTCAATCGCTATAAAGTAAATTTCTTAGTCATACAATAATCATATTTTAAATACACGGAAGCAATAAAGGAGGTGTTAAAATTAGTTACCATTACACAGCGCTAAACGTAATACGTTAAATTGATAATGTCTATATAACCGACTACAATTTGCTCTCTCTTTAACAATTCACATAAAAACCTTAATCTTCACAGCCTTAAATAGGTAAAGCACAATCAAAATTAGTATATACGTTAATGTTAGTTTCTTTCGCGGGAACTTACTTTCGCGAAAATGGAAGAGGCAGATTTTCGCCAGGCTTAAAGTTGGCAGAAGAATCGTGTGGGAGGAACAGATTTCGTAATTTATTTTTTTTAAAAAGTTATCCGAAAACCTTATGAAGGCAAAAAGGACCACAACAAAACAAGACTAAAATAGGGTAATACGTTCGTTTGCAAAAACTCATGTTAATGCAAATAATATGGCATTTACTTTGTCTTCTATCCTTTTTATGATTCGAAGGAATAAAAATGTATAACTGACTTTTAAAGGTTGATTTAGAAGTTTTTCAGCAGTTTTTAAAGAATGCGTCAAAAGTTCCCACGACAACCCTTTTTTTCTCGCGGGTTTTTAATTTCGATTTTTTTTTTTTTGCAAAGGTGACGATTCAGTTGGAAAAAAAATAAGTTCACGAAAATGAGCAAAAAACAAATGTAGCTCGTAATAACAAGCCTCGATAGCAAAGTAGTGTTGTTGGAATACTTCAACGTGGAAAAAAAAAGAACTTCATAGAGGTGTTGTCTGTTAAAATGGTTACAAAAATGGTTACGAGTTTAATTAAATGGTTACGAGCATTAATTACATATTAATGGTGTCGTTAGAAAACGTTTGAAGCTGTCCTTCAGTAGCATGATGATTAAA